ATCTGAGGCATTGGCATTGGTGGAGGACACATTTGAGGCATTGGCATCTGGGGCATTGGCATTTGCATCTGAGGCATTGGCATTGGTGGAGGGCACATTTGAGGCATTTGCATTGGCATTTGAGGCATTTGCATAGGCATTTGTGGCATTGGAGCGCAAGCTTGTTGACCACCAAATCTATAATAAAAGATAATATATTTTGAAATTTAATTAATTGATTTCAAGCTGATGTACTCACCCTCCAGCAGCACCACCTTGAGGGATGAAGATAACACGAATCTTAGGAGGAAGTCCTCCTAAACCACCACCTAGACCACCTAAACCACCACTACCAAGACCAGCACTTCCAAGACCACCTAAACCATAACTACCGAGTGCACTATTGCCACCACCAAGTCCGCCTCCTAGATTAGATCTGGGAACGATAGCTGTGGTAACATATCCTGTTCCGAATCCACCAGTAGGGAAACCACCTCCAGTTGGATAGGCACCACCAGTTGGATAGCCGCCACCATCTAAAGAATTAGAAACTGTATGTGAGTAATTCATTTTTTAAAATTAAAAAAAATTCAAGGAACCACTTACAAGAATATGGATCATAAGCACCTCCATAATAGTCCATTCCATAATTAGGATCATAAGGTTGACCATATCCTGAAAGACCAGGTTGTTGACGACGATTTACTCGGTTTCCCATTTTGTGTTATATGTTGCTGTATAACTAATCTATTGCCTAGAACTAACACAGTAAAGTTTAGGTGACAAATAAGTAATAAAAACTACGTTTAATGTATTCTCAGAAATAAAAACAAGGAAAAATGTTTCTCATACTACTATTCTCACGTATGCTATGCTACCTACTCTTCTTCAAGTGACGACCACGGCTGTCGATCTGGAGTAATCGATCTAATACAAATGTTGCTGATTTTATAGGTAAGCGGTTTCACCTTTTGCTTCTTAGTTAATAACACAAGAGGAATAGAGAGAGAGAGAAAAAAAAGAAAAATAGAAGAGAGGAAACTTTTTTGGTCGAAGAAAAAAAAACTGCCGAGACATTCGTCCCTAATTTTGAGGACGAAACTTGTACGATACAATTGGTTTATCATATCTTTCTATGAATCGTCCATGCATCAGTCAACGACGGAGAGAGGAAACGAAGGTTACTAACGATGGTTGTGGCATAAAAAAAAAAGAGAAATATGTTTTTCACCGTCCACGGCCGTTTTGTCTGTGGAAGAGAGAGACGAAAATCATTTTATTTACCACACCTTTATTCACGGCCAGAAAACCACGAATAATTTACCTGAGCGTAGCTGTTGTTTTAAAAATGAATGGTTAAAATCAGGCCTTATATAGGAACGCGTACGAAAATATAATTGATCAGAAAGGAAGAAAAAAAAATTGACAAGTTATTACTTATTTAGCATGTGCATGTATTTTGCTGATAACCTTGTCGTTGTTGTCGTTGATGATGATGTTGATGAGTTGAAAAGGGTGCCTGCCTTTACACTACAAATAGCGTGAGAGAGAGAGAAAGGAAGCAAATCAGAGACATTTTTCCTAATCAATTTTATTGATCATCAATTTTTTTTTTGTGGTTTCGCTTGATGTCTAACTATAATAACTATTTATTACGGTTTCAAGGTTAAGACAACAACATAAAATGATCAACAAAACATCACTCAAACTGATGTACAAGTATAGATGCATCAGTTTGTATTCGTAAAAAAAAACTGTAATAAGCGTGTGAAGGAGAATTACTTTTTATAGATACTATCAGTGTAAACGAGTGTGATAATATGTGCTTGTTGTGTTTTTCAAGGCAAATGGTCATAATGAATAATAAACAATATTTTATTTGCATTTTGATAGTGATTTTACTAATAATAATTTGTTTTAATTTGTGTATAACTGACATTTTTTTTTGCTCCATCAATATTCTTGAATATTCTTTATCAAAATAAATTGATTGAATGCTATTGAAAAGAATAGTAACAACATCAAAATACAAAACAATATAGTATACTCACTGTAGTACGTTAAGATGTTTTGTATTAATCTATTGTATTTGTTAATATAGTAGACAAAATGAATCTTTAACGTCAAGTGTATTACATATGATATGTGATATATTACACGGATTTACTTTCTTTATATATGTATGTATCAAGTGTACGCGTTGCTCTCATTAATTATTTTCAGTGAGCTTTTACATATTTTGTCGCCTATTGTTCTTCTGATTTTTTTTCTTCTTGTCTTCGTTTCTCTTTTTTTGCTTTTATTCTCTTACAATAGATCAGTAACCTTCTATTCAATAATAGTATGAATAATAGAAACAACAATGTATTCTTTTTGTTGCGCATACTAATCGGAAAAAATTAAATGAAATATAGGGGTGACTTCATGGTTGATTGCTTCACATTACAATGTGCATGCATGTATATGTCACTTAACCACACCTCATCATCGACTTTTTCGTGTATATTAATTGAAATATTTTTATCGGACCAGTTTTCATCTCTCTCTCTCTTTCTTTATTCATATATACTTGTATTTTCGTAGTCAACAACGTATTCAATCAATCGATCATCGATTTATATATATTTATTACATAGCAATACATATATATGAGTCTTTGCTTTAGTTACATATATCGCTTTTTACTGTTTAACACTTTTGTTCTATCATATATTCTTAAGCAGAAGTAACTATAATGAGAATATTTCTTTTCTCGCCGATTTTTTTAGGTAGATATCATAATCATTTTTGAATAGATCAACAATCATTATAAGCGCAATCAAAAACACATAAATATTTGCGTTTAATTATAAAAAAAAAAAGATATTTTTTTATGACAAGAATTTCATTACTTTTAGATAGAATGAATAGACGTCCCGGTCAACGACTTCCGGCAAATCCACAAAGAGCTGCTGCTTTAAATCAGTAGTAATTTCATTTTAACTTTATATTTAATTAATATTTTTAACTAAATAGACATGGAGCAAGACAAATTCCTGATGATCGACTAGGACGTATTCGCGGTGGAGCAAATAATCTTGGAACAGCAGGAGCAAATGTAGAACCATGGTCAGTAACAGAATGGACTGAATATTATATTCCTACAGTTGGTGGTGGTCAACAACGTCCTGTTATCTATGTCGCTGCTTGTTTAGATCCAGCTGCTATGCAAGCTATGGGAGGAGGTATGGGTGGAGGTATGGGTATGGGTATGGGTGGAGGTTATCCAGGTGCCATGGGAAGTTACGGAGGTAATATGCGCACTGGTATGGGTAGTTACGGAGGTGCTATGCGTGCTCCTGGTGTTGGAGGTGGTCTTCGTGGTGGTCTTGGTGGAGGCAGATTTCGCTAAGAGAGAAGAATTACTATCTTCTCCTGAATCAAAAGAAGGTATAGATTTTTAATAAACAATAACACAAATATGATATCGGCGTCTTTTATTGTTCGTGCATGTATGTGTGAAAATCTGTATTTGACTTTTTTTTCTTCTTTTTTATGTGTCTATTTTTTCTTTTTCACACGCTAGAAAACATTATTTAACAAAATTCTTTAATTTTATTTTCTTCTTTGCTTTTTTTTTATTTTCTATGATTTATTTTAACAAAAAAACAAATAATAATACTTTGCTGACATAATCAACGTTTTTTATGTAGACATGGTGCAAGTGCTACAATTGATTTTGATTTCATTTCTTCTGAAATCTTAACAAAATCAAACGTATAGAAATATATTGATGGTGCATTCGTTTTTTCTTCTAATGAATTTGTTTTTGAACATTGAAAACCTATGGATTCAATTTTACGTATAAATTTTTGAGGTTGATTTTCAAAACGTGATGCTATTTCAACAATTTTCATTGTACCACGTAAACGTAGTATACGATGAGCTTCATGAATAAAATCAGTTAAATTTGTTCCCATCAAGGATAAACAAAAAATAACAATATCAACAGAATTTGTTTTTAATGGTGTATGTGCTATGTCACATACTTGTACATGTTCATTTAATGCAAATAAATCAAAACTAGTTATATTTGGATGAGTTGATTTAAGTGTACGAGCAAGACGTGCATCACCACAACCCATATCAACAATAATCAGATTTGATGAACGTTTACGTATATAAGCAATGATTTCATCCAATGGTTGATCAGGCCAACGAGACATACTCGTCTTAGAAAGAAAAAAACAAAAAAAAGGTTAAGCATATCAAAAAAATATTTATTTATTATTTAAACAAAACTTACTGCATAACCTTGATGATATGCATGAAAAGATTGAGGATCTTTTTTAAACATGTTTTGAGCTTCTATGCTTGATGATGTATATAGTTTTTCATTAAGATAACGAAAACGAGATGTTATCATATTAGAAACAAGTTTATCACAAATAGATGGTTTCGATATTTCACAAGGTTTTTTCGTTGGTGGTTCACTTTTTTTCTGTTCTTCATCAGATTCATGTTTACGTTTTTTTGTTTTTGTTGGTAAAGGTTTAATAACATCCTTTAATTCAGGATGATTCATTAAATAATATTTATTTTTACGACTTTGTTTTGGTATAATAGACTGTTGTTGTTGTGGTTGTTGTTGTTGTTTTTGTTGTTGTAATTCTCTATTAATATGTTTTTTTAATTCTAATCGTTTTCTACTTGAGTCATCATCTGAATCATCATTTAATATACGTTGTTCTCGTTTACGATCGGCTGGATCATTATCACGACGTGGTATTCGATCAGAAATTTTTTTACCTTTTTTATTTTTATCAAGTATTGATAATTCACTATTTGCAAGTATTTTATTTACTTGAACATGATTTCTATTTGCACGTTTTTTATGTGGCATCTAGAAATAAGAAAAAGGAAGTTTTTTTTAATGATTCAATTGAGATATCTATTAGTAATATGTATTGAAATATCATAAATCATCCTTCTTTTTTTTTAGCTATATACATGAAAGATTTGTCATTCGATTAAGAAAGAGTAACACGTGAACTTGATAATATATCGAGTGATTAAATTATTATCTAAGTATACTAATATCTAATGGCTTTATATATATATATATATATGAATAAAGATAGATGTCCTAGAATAAGTTTTTAGATATTGATTCGATACATGTTTTAATTTCAGTGTTCAATTAATGTATAGTTCGAACTGTCATTCATAAATTTAACAATCAACTAATCTATCATGTTTCTTTAGCGTAAGGGATAATTTCATATTCTTATTTTTGACGCCGAAAAAAAAGCGTTGACGTTTTATTTATTTATACATGAAATGAATCATTAGACATATTCTAAAACAATCCTTCGATGTACAGTTATTAATTTTCTTTTCTATTAAATAATATCGAGTAGAAGGTCATTGAAAATATATTGAAAAAAACGAGTGACAGCGTTTATAAACGAAAAAAATCAATGATGTGTGACGGATGTAATTTGGTGATATTTTTTTTTACTTTCACATATGAAACAAATGAGTAATGAAAAAAAAATTAAAAAAGCGTATCGTCTTCGTAGGAGTTTATCAAATATTTTCAAATAATGAAATAATCAAAGAAAAAAAAATAATTATCAAAGAGAATTTATAAATTTAAATATAATCATGACAAAAAAAGTTGAATATATATCATAGACACTTTTTCATCGTGTGAAAGATACATAAGTAGTATGATTAATGACATATGAACAAGATAATATATTAAGGACTATCTGATGCAGTTCTACTATCAGGAAGTAGTGGTTGTCTATCATCATCAGATAATCGTTCTGTACTATGCCATACTCCATAAAAACCGTAAATTAGAAAACCTAATAAAGTAAAATATTGTTTTTTCATCGTAATAACTAACGAAACATACCAACAAACATCCATACACCAAATCGAATCCATGTTGGTGTTGATAATTTAAGAATTAAATAACAATTCATTAATATACTACATATAGGCACATATGGTACCAATGGAGTCTAAAAAAACAAAAAAAATCAATTCTTTTTTTGAAATAAAAATAAACTAACTTCAAAGTAAAGTGTTTTTTGAGCTTTTGGTTGTCTTGCGATTAAAACAGTAAAGATAATTTCAAGTACAATAGATAATATAAAAAAAGTTAATGTTGTTGGATCTTTATTTATAATATTTTGTGTTGCATTTATTTGTATAGCACAAAGTATAAAACTATTCACAACTATAATTATAAAGAAAAAAAAATATTAATTATTCAATTTCAATAAATTTACCTAGACAAGCGATAAGATACTTCACTATTCTTGCTGTAAATATTGTCGGACGTGTTTGTCTTGGCATCCATAAATCTGTATATGTTGGTCGAATGACTTCTTCATCAGATTGTAATAATGGATTTTCAACAGGTTGATAACTAAATATAAGAAAATGTTTTTTTTTAATTTATTACATAAATTTTTTCTTTACCGTAAAAATAGAATAGACATTGAAACAATTGAGTATGCAAGTAATGTTCCAATTGACATCATTTCAACAAGTTGTTTTAAATCAAATAATAATGCCATTATTGCTAAATAAATTTATATAATTAAATTTTCAGAATTTTGTTTAACCTACCTGATGCAATACCGCCAATAATTGTTGCTACTATTGGTGTTTGTAAACGTGGATGTATCCAAGCTATACAACGAAATATTAATCCATCAGCTGCGATAGCATACAAAACGCGTGGTAATGGTAAAAGTGAACCAAGTAATGCTGCAGTAATTCCTATGAAAAAAAAATAATAATAATAATTTAGAAAAATAAAAGATCTATAAAAACAAACCAGCTAATGCACCAATACCAATTACATATTGAAATATAGGTAAGCCAGCATAATGAAATGCTTCGGGCAAAGCAGCATTAGGATTGATTAAATAATATGGAACCTAAATAATTGAATACGATACATTCATTATTTATAAAAAAAAGCTAGTCGCATAAAAATGATTTAGGACTTTGTCAATTTCAAATCATTATTAGTTTAGGAAAATTCTAATGGTTATTTTCTTCTCAAATAAATCATTCAAGAATAAGTTAATAGTACCATTAATGTAACAACCGATGATATGGCACAATAAAGTATTGAACAGACAATTAATGTTAAACAAATAGATATTGGAATAGCACGTTGTGGATTTTTACATTCTTCACCTAGAAAAAAAAAATAAGTCAAACTTTAATCAATATCGGAAAAAAAACATTATTTTACGTACCTGTTGTTGCAACAAGATCAAAACCAACAAATGCATAAAAACATGTTGCTGCACCTGCCAATGTTCCTTCAATTCCAAATGGAAAAAAACCTCCATTACCAATAAGTCCTGTACTATTCGTTAAATTATGTACTTCATTGGGTGAAATATTCCAATTATGTCCATGACTTTTCGTTAGACCAACAATAATAACAGTAGATATAACAGCAAGATTCGTAAATGTTAAAATATCATTTAATATTGCTGATTCTTTAATACCAATTATTAGTAAAACTAGAATATCAGTTATTGAAAAAAAAGGATTTATTCTTATTTTTTCTACTTACTAGTTACAAGAAGACATACACCCATAGCAAATACATCTGCATATTCAGAAAGTATTGCCGAACGTAATGGAAAATGATGTTTAAAATATTCGCGCATTGTAAAATCAATTAATGAATCCAAATAAGCACTTAATGCTCGAGCTGTACTAGCAGCACCTAAATAAAAATAGAGATTTTTTAAAAATAAATTCATATTCAATGGAGTTCAATTCAGCAATAAGAAATCGTAGATTTACAAAAATTGAACGATTTTTTTCGAATAATACAATAGCTAAAATAGCAGCAAAAACAAACTTGCTCGAAAAGACAAACAGTCTTAAATTTTCAATGATTATACATCCTTCTTATCATATTTTCATAAGTACAAACTACCACAATGGTAAATAGGACAAGTTCAATCTTCGTGACTAAGTAAGAAATTGATAAAATCGATGATAGAATAAATAATGTAACTCAACCATTTATCTTTTATGTATCTCATTTTCCATGGCCTAAATATATATTGATAATCACCATGTACCTTTCATTTATCAAATGTCTGCTTTTTAAGTACTAATACATAAATTAAGATATAATATTTACAAATACATTTGTTTTTATGATTAATAGCATAACTATTAATGTATATTTCATCTTTACTTTCTTATATCGTTACAAAAAGCATAGGTTAAGAAATATTCATAGGTAGTATATTATCTATCATTCAACACAAATCGTTTTTAATCTATCTGAAGAATATCGAAATAATTAATACTTTTTGTATTCTAACAGATAAAATAAACGAGATCATCTTTAGCAAATCAATAATATCCTTCTATTGTTATTCGTCTATAATTATACAGAAGGAAAATAACTTTTATACGCATATTTAAAAAAATATTTGTCCTTATCCCAAGTATATATTTTAGTCATACAAACAAATATAATGATTGGATATGATTATTTATGATAGTCATATATCACTATTAATAGTGTCATATTAAACTTTTTTCATTCAAAATCGTATTTTTTTTGTGGTGTATTCACCCATATATATAATATTCATACAGTATGTATTCTAATTGTATTTATTGTTATGACAAAGTATTAATAATCGTTTTCCCTTTTTTTGTTCACTACAAAATTTATTAAGATTCCTCGAATCAATACGAACATTAAAAAGCATTTGATGTAGCTGACATAAGTGGCTCCAGCACGCTAACAAATACAAAGGGTCGTGACTTCGGTCAAAATCTGATGATTTCTAAGAGTTAAGAAAAATTTAGACATAAGAATGACGGTTAGCCGTAGATTTTCGACCAGTCTAAATGACATGAGTTTAATACTATCTTGTTTAAGTATTCTTAATGCCAGTATTTTTGTAAACGATCTAAGATGTCATAGATATCTTTGTAGTTATGCACAGAATCAACTAGTCAAAAATTCAATCGACTCTAGTTTAGAAAAATTAGATTAATAAGAAAAAAGGTAAATTGCGTCGTAATCATTCTATATAATACATAAGAACAGAACGAAAAAGATGACTCACAACGAATGCAAAAATAATTGAATGTTAATATGATGAATTAATCACTCTGACTACAAAAATAAGGGTGAAAGTACATGGGTGCGGGTGTTGATGAAAAAATTTTTACTTTCATGAATTATCATTCTCAACACTTCAATCTTTCGACATTTCTGTCAAAGTTTAATGAATCGCTCTCATTCTCGTCCAATAAAAAAGAGATAAAATGTAAATATAATAAATTATTCTTTATGTTTTTATCATTACAATGCTTATGTATTCTTTATATAGATTGATTACATTTTTTGTGTTGAGTAATAGATAAGATACTATTCTTTAACATCTATGTTTTAACATCTCTTTACACTTCGATATTGTAATGATAAGAAAATCAAAACTAGTTCAGCACTCTCTACATACTAGACTAATTAAGCATAATATAAAAATGAATATTTCTAATTCATTCAAAATATCTATTCAGTTTGTGTTAACATACCTATAACGTATTCTAAGATCATATTCCAACCTATATGAAAAAAAAGAAACGAGCATAAAATTTTAACTTGAATATAATTATAGTTCATACCGATAATAAAAGCCAAAAGTTCTCCTATACTAACATATGTGTATGTATATGCACTTCCAGCACGTGGCGTGCGTGCACCAAATTCAGCATAACAAAGTCCAGCGAGAATAGATGCAATAGCTGCAACAAGAAAACTTAGAACTACTGATGGTCCTGCTGTTTCATGCGCCACTTGTCCTGTAAGAATATAAGCGCCTGTGCCAAGTGTTGATCCAATACCTAAAAATAACAATAAAAATCAAAATTAAAAATTATTTATTTATTATTTTACCCAGAATAGTAAGATCAAATACATTTAAACATCGTTTTAATTTTGACTCCTGTACTGAATCAGTACCATATTTTTTTGTTCGAGTTAGAGTATGATAGAATCCAGAAATTGCACTTGACATATTGTTCGATAGTTTTTTACAAACTATTTTAATTTATTTTATTTGATACAAAATCAAATAGAAACTAATATGAAACTATATAACATTGAGAAAGTCTTTTTTTGAAAGATAGGACAGAATAATCATGTTTCATATCACATACTTTTATACGTTTCAATCACACATTCAATGATTGGATAGTATTTATTTTGATACATAAGCCCATTAAAAACTATGTCAAAAGATGTCGTATTAGATATTCATCTAATAGTTCCTCTCTAAGTTTTTTCATATACATTGTAAATACAATTTATATAAAGTTAATGAAAATAACGAGCTCAACTTAGATAAAAACCCTTTGAAATGTAGCTGTACTCACCGTATTGAGTAATCCAACGAATTAAGAGAAAATATAAAAAGCATTGTAGAGGTACAGGGAGTCATGTTATGATGACCTGATTTAGAGTCAGAATATAGCCGTTAAGAGTAATGGTAATTGGTCGAAGACCGAAGAATCCTAATATTCTAATTACCTAATGCATTGATGAATATTTAGTGCAATAAAAATGCTATTAATCACATTAGATGACGCCCTTATATGATATGTATCGTATACATTCTTGTCATATGTTATTTAGGTATTATAATCTGTTCCGTGAAAGCATCCCATATACAATTTAATTAAAGTGAGAAAATAAGAATAATTTCTGTAGATGAATTATATTATATTAATTTACTTTTAAACTGTGTAATTATACAGAAATCTGACGTTATGAAACATATACTATTATCGGATGTATTGAAAATTTTCTTACTAAAATGCATTTTTTAAATAAGTTATAATGTATCTCTTTTTCAAAAAAGAATCGATTCGCATTTAATTAAAAATATTGATTATTATTTAATATCTACTATTTTTTTATTATAATAAATAATAAAGTTAAACAAGACCGTTTATACAACAAAAGAATATCAAATTCACTAAATAAAACAATTAATACTATTTCTTTTTTTTATTTGTTGTTCAAATTCAGAATCGTCTTTGTTTTCCTTCGGTTTTGATTTCGAACGTTTTTTAATAGTTGATGGAGATGGTGGTGACGCTAATGATGCTGCTGGATAAGGTGCAGGTATTTTCTTATCAATGTAGGCTTGCTTCATTTTGGAGAAGAGATCATATAGAGACACGGATCTAAATAGATCCATATATAAGAGTTAGTTGGCATTATTTTTTAATTTAATTAAATATTTACCCTTTTAATATTTTCGTTTGACTTTCTTTTGTACGAATTTCATCACGTAAAATTGTTAATTGTTTTTGATGTTGTTCACTGACTTGTTCCATTTGTTGACTTAATACTTTTTGAACATCAGATGTTGAATCAGTTACGCACTCTTAAAAAAAAAATATATATATATATGCAAATAAAGGCTATTCAAAATATCGCCCCTATTAGATTCCTAATCAATATAATGTCCATGTATCTCTAATAGATATATTAATGATTTTTTTCTAACAAGAAAAATTAAATAATGAACGAAATGTTTTTCTTTACATTGTATTTTTAATATAATTAGTTAGTACCATGAATATTTTCATTGGAAATATTCAAATTATTTTTGGCCATGAGGATAATGAAGGAATATAGAGAACTGGAATATTACTCTTTGTCTTTTTCTTTCTTATTGACAAATAAAAAGAAAATATATATACCTTGAGCTCGAAGTTTAACTAATATTTCATTTAATGAATCTTGTGTTTGTTTTGAAGTACGTTTTTCCTCTTCTAATTCTTTACGAATACTATTTAATGAAGTCTAATTAATTAAATAAAAAATTAAAAAACTAAACTTCGAATAAATATAAACAAACCAATTTTGTATCGAGTTCTTGTACAAGTATTTCATTTTCTTTACTTTTGGTTTCAACTTCTTGAGTTTTTTGATCATAATTAACTGCAAGTTTTTCAAGAGCTTGTAATACTTCTTTAACTTCTTCTTTTGCTGATTCACTTTCTTGTTGAAGACGATTTACTTTGACTTGAAGATTTTCATTATCTTTTCGAGCTTGACTAAATATATGATGTTCAACTGTTTGAGATTCAAGTCTTTCAAGAGTTTGGGCTAAATTATTTATTTCATCATTCTGAGAAGAAAATAAAAATATATTATTAGAAAAAAAATATCTTTTATTTACTTTTTCATCTAATTGTTGATAAAGTGTACTTCGTTCTTTTTCCCATTCATCAACATTAACAGAGGAACGAAGATCAGGACCATCTAATGGATTACCAGCTGCGACAGTACCAACAACAGATGTTGTTGGACTAAGAGCAGATGAAGCAACAGTCAATAAAGACATTGTTGATTGAGTTGTTGAAAGTGTATCGTCACTTTCGAGTAAGTTAATTTGTTCATCTTTAGTAACTGTTTCACCTGAAGAAAATTTTTTAAATAAAAAAAGAAATTTATTAAAATAACTAAATAACCTCGTCTCCATTGTTCAAGTTCCACTTTTAATCGGCTTAATTGACCTATTAATCGAGCTACTTTTTCACATTCTTTTTCCCAACGACGTTTCGATTCTTCAGCTGTTAATTCTTCATTAACAATAACTTGATTTTTGATATTTTTCGCTCTAAAATATTTTAAAAAAAAATGATTAGACATTTTAATCACTTTATTTTCTAACCTTTTGCCAAATTCAAGTGTCGATCTTGTTTGTGAATCATTGTAACTAGCTGGTGAACAACATAGAATTATAGTTGTACGGGCATTTCCCCCAAGAGATTCTTTTAAAATATGTGTTAATTTCGAACTACGATAAGGTATATAAGGTTTCTATATAATAAAATATAAAATAAATAAAATTTAAAAGAAAAACAATAATTGTAACAAACAGTTTCATCAGCTAATGCTAAAATAACATTTCCTAATGCAGATAAAGATTTATTGATGCATTTTGCTTCACCAAGTACTTGACCTTCGGCACCAGTTCTTGAAACCTTTTTTGTTTTTATAAAAAAATAAATGAAATTTATACAAGACTTTATATCATTTTACAAAAAATTTTACATTTTCAGTTCCAGCTAAATCAACAAGATAAAGTTTTCCAGTTAATTTTTTTTCATTTTGAACATTTTCTTGTTTAACATGTATAAGAAAAACTGAATGTGAACGTGAACTATGTTCGTTCATATTTGTTACAGCTATACGTCGGTTCTTTTTTCCTTCTTTCATTATTTTGAAGATCTCATCAGGTGATGAAACGAATCGTTCAGTAACACCCTTTGCAAAAAAAAGAAAAGAAGTTCATATTCAAATATACATATTTCATCATACTTTAACATATGGTGCACAATTTTTGTCTCGACCTACAGCTAAATTTGTTTTTGATACGTCAAGAAGATCACGAATTTTATCAAGATATATTTCGAAATAAGAAATTTTTATTTGAAAGTGGAAATTCGTATCCAATGTATATATGTGATTAAATATATCTTGTGCAATTCGTGGGATAATACCTTGTTGACCATCGCTACCCATTACACCCTATTGAGAGAAAAAAATAAGAAAATTTTATTTCAAGAAAAATAAACATATCAGCTTTTCTTTTACTTCCATCGTATGAGTTTTTCCAGTTGATGTTTGACCATAAGCAAATATAGTTCCATTATAGCCATTAAGAACATCTTTAACAATTTCTTTAGCAGTTTCATTATAAACGTTTTCTTGTGTAGCATTAGAACGAAATACCTTATCGAATATATATGGATTACCCTAAAAAATACTATGGTTTCAGAAAAAATTTCAGTCAATAAATCAATGACATACAGTAATAAGAGTAGTATCGTCTTTATCTGTGGGAAAGTTAACAACACTTTCATTGCCAGCTTGTTTTTCAGATTCGTTTAATGGACGAAAACGAGCAACAACTCGAATATTACATTCATTGGCTGCCATTAAACGTATTGATCGTAGATGATCTTAAAGAAACAAATTAAATCTCTAAGAAAAGAAAAATAGAAAAATAAACTATAATATCTGGCGACCCAGACAGTAATAAAATGATCAAAATCAGTAACAATCATTATTACGTTTTGTGAGATAGTGGAATAATCCATATCATCTAACAAAGTATGATAATGGAATTATCCATATCTTTTAACAGTGTGTCATGGTGTTTTTCTCTTTTCTGTTATGATTTTATCCAACACATACACATACACATATATATAGTTGTCGTTAAATGTATGTGTTATATATATTTCTTTCGTCTTTCGTTCTCTCTACCTATTGTTTCCTCTCATTCTTTTCTTCAATAAAGATACCTTTTCCGAAGATCGTATTTTATTGAAGATTGATTGTAAGAAATGACATAAATTTTCGGATGAATATTTCTTGACTGAGTTTTTAAAACATATTTTGTAAAAGAAATTATAAAATAGTTGACTGAATGATAAATTTATGCTAAGAGAGTTTATCTAATGTATTTAAGTTCAGAGGATTCGTCGTTCTAAAGCTAACATTTCACTATTGTTCAATTTTCGAGCAAGGTTAATAAGATTGAATGCGTACATTGTAGATCGTTTTCTATATTACTAATACATATGAATTTAATCATTTTAAAATATAATTTAAATTATATAGGACACAATTCTATCTTCTTCGCTTTCTTGTCGCTAGTATTTATATAGTAATGCATTGATAGTAGCGACAAATTTTTCTTAATTTCATATAAAATTTTTTAAAAATAGAATTCAGAATAATAAAATACATGTTAATCGTTTTGATTGATATTATACTCTTTCAAATATTATTAAAATTTAAAATTTTTTTCTATTGGTTCATTTTTGAAAGCTAAAGATATATATGGAATACAAGGAAATGATCAAATTTTTTGCTTCAGTTTTATTAAAAATATAATATTTTTAGTTTAGATGGCACCTGTAGGTAATCGTCATTTTTCTCAATCAAATAATCGTTATTCAGGTGGACGCGGTCATCGATCACATATACGTCCTGATGATCGATCTAGACGTGATAATCGTTATGATGTAAATAAAACTTCAATTGAATAAACTATTTAACAAAACTTTATTTATTTATATAGAATAAACGAAGTCGACGTAGTCGTTCTCGATCAGATTCACGACGACGAAATGATACTCGACCATCATCTACTAAATTATCAGTAAATTCTAAACGACGAAAAATAGATAGTGATAATGAATATGATAATTTATTAAAAGAAGAAAATGATCCTGAAAAAAGATTTCGTTTAATATTAAAAAAACGAAATGCAATCATTAAACGAACATTAGCCAAATCAGTTAGTAATCAATATTAATAATTAATATCAAACTTGTATATTTTGTTTAGTTTGGCTTAAGTACAACAACATTATCACAATTATTAATTGATAAATGTGATGAAACAATCAAAGAATCGATTATATCAAAATCTAAGTAAGACTTATTTATTGATAGATAATTCATGATTATATATTTTTCTAGAAAACAATTCGAACGAAAACAATCAAATGATTCTGAACCTATTCAAACTTCACGTGTTGTTACTGATGAAGTATGAAATAAATATTCGAGTTTTCTCAATCAAAAATATTCTTATCATTAAGGTACATTTATGTGATCAAATATCTCGATTAGATGATGATGAATATGATGAAGTATAAATTCCATTCATTATTTTAATAAATAATTCCTAATATTTTCTTAAGGCACCGAATAATGATTATAGTCAGCAATTTGTGAATATTGGTCAACGACCACAAAATTATATTCGTGATGCTGGTTAGATAATTTATTTTTTCTTAATTTAAAAAGTGAAAAAAAATATATATAACAGGTCTTCAAGATCGTTTTGAAGAATATCCAAAATTACAAGAATTAATTCGTCTTAAAGATGAACATATTAATAAAACAAGTCCACCACCAATGTATTTACGTTGTGATTTATTAGCTAATAATTTTACATTATCATCACTTGAATGTGAATTTGATGTTATTCTTATTGAACCACCATTAGAAGAATATAAGCGAACAAGTGGAATTCATTTTGATCGTTATGTTACCTGGGATGAAGTTATGAAACTTGATGTCGAATCAGTTGCGGCACAACGATCATTTGTTTTTCTATGGTGTGGATCAGCTGAAGGTTTAGATCAAGGACGAGCGGTAAGAGAAAAACAATCGAATATAATGATGAATATATAAATTAGATAATTTAGTGTTTGAAAAAATGGGGTTTTAGACGATGTGAAGATATTTGTTGGGTTAAAACAAATCGAGGAAATTCAAGACCAGCTCTAACACTTGAATCTGGTTCAATTTTTCAAAGAACAAAAGTAAGTTTTTTTTGAAAAGTATACATTATAAAAAGTAAGACCTTTTTTTTTATAAAGGAACATTGTTTAATGGGTATTCGTGGTACAGTTCGTCGATCAGTTGATTCTGATTTTATCCATGCAAATGTTGATATTGATTTAATAATAACAGAAGAACCAGAATGGGGAGATCCAAATAAACCAATTGAATTATATCATATTATTGAACATTTTTGTTTGGGTCGTCGTCGTCTTCATTTATTTGCTCGTGAATCAACGATAAGACGTGGTTGGTTATCAGTAGGCTCGGAAATTTGTACATCTAATTTTGATAAACGTCTTTATAAAACATATTTTGAAAACCCATTACCACAACTTGAAAATATATCTGAACGAATTGAACAACTTCGACCGAAATCACCACCACCCAAAGGTCTTAAAGCAGCACCAGGAACAACAGCAGCAACAACAAATCCTAATCCAAATTCGACATCTGCGCAACAACTTGTTCCATCCACATTATCTTCATCATCAACGAAAGAATTAACACCATTAGTTATTTTACAAGAAGGTCAACAAGCAATACGTTCAACAATAACTAGTAATCGTCAATCATCATCTCGTGCTGTTCGACCACATTGGGGTTTATATACTGATGATATACCACCAAATGTTTATCCACCTATGATGCTTTCACCAACACGTCATGGTTATCCAGCATCATATTCTGATTTACATCTATTATCTGAATATGATTTTGCTATAGCAGCTGGAAATAGTAGTCAAAATGATTATGATACATATTATGGTCATGCTAACGTTGAACAACAGGATGACAGAGGAAATTTTCGTAACTGATTGATTTTTGTTTATTTGTAAATAAAATTTTTGACTAATTAAAAATAGAATTATTCTCTTTCTCGTGGAGAAGAGTCCAGTAAACATAAATTGGCTGATTGATTGTATATCCGCACTTCAATGATTAGTCCAGATATAAAAGGAATTTTCTTATAAGGGTTGACCGAAGGGTAATTGAGATCGGAGAACTCGAATCCGTTGTTAGCTTTTTAGACAAAGGATCACTTTTTTTACAAAACAAGTTTATTTTATAAGAGTTGATTGATCATATAAATGAATTGCTTGGTAGTTGTTTAGTAACGTGATTTCTACGAGAAAGAGCCGAGCGCAGTGGCGGATCTAGGATTTTGGAACGGGGAAGCGATTTTTTTTTGAGTTTGGGAGGGCGATTTTGGCTAAAAGCTATTTTTCGAGTCCAAACGAAGTAGTGTGAACTTATTTTTTCGTTTATTTTTGCTGTAAAAAATCAAAAAAAGATTCGGAAGGGGCGAGCAGCGATCACCCCATCGCTCGCCCCCCCCCCGAAATCCGCCACTGGACGAGCATTACTTGTATAAGTGTATTGATAGTCCTTTTTAAAATTATAATTATTGATTAACTGAGATAGTTTCTTAAATATAATAAATTTCATTTTCAATCGATATTTATTCCAATACATTTACTAGTTATATATTAAAGGAAAGTTAATATAAGAAGCAGAAATTTAAAACTATTTATCTAAACAATCTTATGTTGTCGTCGATTAACAGAAGGAATTATCTGTTGATTTTGATTAACTGTTATACTATTAGAATTTGTATTCATATGTTCACAATTTAAATGAACAAAAGCACGTTCAACTTCTGGTAATGCTTCGATTTTTTGTTCAAGACCAATACCAACATGAACTGCTTCGGCAAGTTTTAAATCATATGGAAGAAGAACATCAATTTCAACAAGAAAATGTGTACCAAAATGATATGCTCGTACGGCATCTATTTTATGTACTAATGGAGAATGATGAAATGCAAGCCAAGTTAATTGTTGAAGAAAATTTGAAGGTGCTGTATAACCAGTTAAATTACGAATATGAACTATATAAATTTTTCATAAATATATCAGTTTATAATTCAAATGAAAATACTTACGACGAACTTGAGGAATCCAACATATAATAATATATAAACTAATTACTATCGCACCTGAAAAATTCTATTGTCAAATAAATAAATATACTATTTAATAACATACCAACTGGATCAATAACTGATAATTCTCTTGGTTTAATTTCTCCGTCTATTGCTTTTGAACCTAAGAAAATCAAATATATAATTATCAATATCTATTATTACTATTTACCAATAATTCCAAATACTAATGCAACAACTGTTGCAACAACATCATTTCGATGATCAGCTGCAAGTGCTGACATTGTTGGAGTTGGAATTTGATAACATAATATCGATAATACAACTTTTATGACTTGTTAAGAAAGAGAAGAAATTAATTTGAAATAGAAGACAAAATGTTTTTCTTTACCAATTGTTGCAACCATAACTGAAATTGCAGCAGGATTAATATCAACCGGTGGTTTTTCATATGCATAACCACTAACATTACGAAAATAATTCACATCTTCAATTACTGAACGAACTCCTTCGAAAATAACTTGAAAACTTGCAGCACACATAACAATACTAAGTATAATAATAATAATTGGTTCGAGTCGAGTTCGTCCTATTTTAAACGAAAAAAACAAAAATGAAGGAAAATTTCATAGTTTTTCAAAATTTGACCTTGTGGATAAAGATGTGGATTTTTCTTTCTTATTGCTCTATTCGCCCACCAGATAGCAAAATTTAACATTAGATCAATTGTACTTTCAATAGCAGATGATGCAATTGATAAAGATTTCGATACAATAGCAGAAAAAACTTTTCCTATGACCAAGATCTATTGAGAAAAATAATCATCATAACTGAATATGACGAAATAATTTCTTACAATATTAGAAACAAGTGTGGTTTTAATTAGAATAAGTGCCCATCGTTTATGTCGTTCAAGACGTTCATCATGTGCTGTACTGCATGTATGTCGTTCATGCATTGTTGATAATTGATCAATGATTTGATCTTGTTTAGCATAGAATCGTCTGAATTATTACAGGAGATTTTAAAAAAAACATAGTATGATTTGTTTGTTTTTTTACCTAACTTTACGTGATAATACTTTATCATCAACATGTCGTCCATGTCGATATGAAACCATTTGTTCCAATGTATAACGAGTTTCATTTTCTAGTAGATAGACAAATAGAAATATGTATTTTCTGGTAAAATCTTTTCTAACCTTTAGTATTATTTTCTATTTCGGATGATGATGGAATTTGTTCGGCACTTGAAAAACTAACATCACCTGAAACAGCATTAAATGTAGCGTCGGGTATGACTGTTGAAATTGTTGATGATAAACGTCGATCTCTATTATATGATGGTAGAACAAAATCATAATGAGGCATTGTTGTTGGTGTATCAACCTCATTTGTTTGATTATGTTTTGAATTTGATGATGATTGACCATTCATTGTAAAATATTTTTGTTTAAGTTTCTTCTTTTCTTACATTTATGTAATGATTTTGGATGAAAATAACACAACAATCTTGTTTGGTCTATGAAATTTAATTTATAAGATAGTGTGTTTATAACCTTTGTCTAAGACAAATTTTGATTTTCAGTTAAATGTAAATACAAAAGTCAAATAGATTCTTATTGAAATCTTTTAAGATTGTTATTAATTAATATTATCAGACAAATTGATAAGATCAAAACCTTTCAATGCTAAGTAAAATAAAGCTTAGAAAAAGGTCAATTTTTAATTTTACCATATTAACAAATAAATGTAGGAAGATTCCGAAATCTTTTTACTATCATCAATAGATGGAAGAGATATGAAAAATTAAGGGTTATAATTAGAGTTTTGTGCTCTTTCTGAATAAGGGCTTACAAATTGTGTACTTGTTTTTGATTGAAAATAGTGAGAAGATCTTTGAACAGTAAGGTACTAAAAATGATTCAATTTGATAATTTTGTAAAACAAATTTTTCTCTATAAGCTCATATATAAAGAAAAGTTTTGTATGCCACAAGTCGAAACACAAATCTATATAAGGAAATTTTCTATTCCAACTATATTTTTAGGCCTTTCAAAAGTCTTCTCATACTATTCTCAAGCAAAGAAGAAGTACATATTTTAAGAGCTCATATTTAGAAAGAATACGAAGTTCTGATTATAATCCTTGGTTCCTCACGCATTTAAAATATTTTGTCCAAAAACCTTTCGCTAAACCGCCCCCTTTTTTCATGAACGTGTACGACATCTACCGAGAATAATACTTCAATGTTTGTTTTTCTGGTTGGAAATGGTTCTAATTTTTATTTTATAATAAAAAAACTTTATGAGATTAAGTTTTAAAATTTATAACGAATTTTTTGAGTAAATTTTTATATTTAAGAAGTCTCAATGGCTCTTATACCGCAAGATGGCTAACTAAATACGAGAAATAAAAAAATAAATCCAATAATATTGTTTCTTGTACCAATTGTTAAAATTTATTCTAGATCTTTTTACTTCATTTAAAAAAAGAAGAGTTCTACTCAAATGCTTCGTACAGTATTTGCAACTCGTGCTCAACCAGCAGCACGAAATTTATTACTTGTTACTAAGCGATTTCAACAATCATCGGCTTCATCTGGTTCTAGTAAACCAGCATCAGGTCCAAGTGCAACACAATCTGCAAGCAGTAGTGCTTCATCGGCTCCTAAAACACAAAGTGCACCAGCTGATCGATCAAGCAATCCTCAGAAACCAACAACCCCTCCTCCATCAACAAAATCATCGTCATCATCATCATCAGCATCATATCCTACAAGTGGTGGTAGTGGTGGAACAGGCAAAGCTATTGCTTATGGTCTTGCACTTGGTCTTGGTGTTACACTTTTATATGCTGAATATGACAATAATACATTTCGTCGTAAAGTTGAATCAATGATTCCACTTAGTTCAACAGTTTTAAGTGGTCTCGATAAAATTATTGATCCAGTATTTGGTCGACATAAAAGATTAACAGACATTATATCAGAAAAAATGCCTGATATTTCCGGTATAACTGATAAATTACCAGACAAAGATCAAATTAAAAAAGCTGGTGAACAAGTTAAAGATGCTGCTAATGCCGCTTACAATAAATTACCAGACCAAAAACAAATTCAAAAAGCTGGTGAAAAAGCTAAAGATGCTATTAATGATGCTTATGACAAATTACCTGAATATAAAAAAGTTAAAGGCGCTGTTATTCATGCTGCTGATCAAGTAATATTTCTTTTGTTTTTAAAAAAAAATAAACAATTTTTTTATTTTTTAGGTTAAAGATGCTGCACACTCAGTACGAGATACTGCTAGTCATGCTGCTGATAAAGTGATATTTTTTTTTCAAAATAAGAAATAAACAAATTTTGTATTGTTTAGGCTAAAGATGCTGCCAAATCAGTACGAGATGCTTTACCACAAACAAAAGGTGTCTCTGGTGAACAATCACGTCTTGGCAATGATCCAGTATTTTTAGAAGAAGCTGGTGAAGTTGTCACCAAACCACCACGCAAAATGTAAATATAATTATAATTAATTTGATAATTAATTTAATCTCTATTTATTTTAGTAAATAATCAAACAAAATAAAACCTATCAATCGTGTCATTATCATCTTTACTTTATATTATTCTCGAACGACGACAATAGCTATAGAATATTTCTCATTTAGACAAAATCAAAATAAACATTTTATCTCAAGTAAAATTTGAAACTAAAATTTAATTCGACTATATATATTTTTTCTTTTCTAGCATGACTCAATCTGTTTGTCTCCTTCTTCTTATTATGGCATGTGATGTTTAAATGGAAGAATTCAATTGGATTTGTATAAATGAAAAATTTTCTATACTGTTGTTGTCGTTATTATTATTATTTGTTTCTTCTAAAGACATTTGACACGATTTATTTATTTTCTAATCAAGCAACTTTAGTATTATGATTGTTCGTTTTACAAAAAAAAATATATACATAGAAAAAAAGATTTAGTTTAATCAATTTTGATCATTCCTTTAAAACCATGATAAATTCTCTTCATATTATTTTCAGATTGAAATTTTTCTATGGCACAACAAGCAGGCCGATCGGCGGCAGCTGCCGCATCACGTTTTACATCAAGTAAAGTTGATTGGAATCGTTTGATGAAATTAAGTGGTTCAAATACAACAACTGCATCAAATCTTCAAGCTAAATGGAGTCAATCAGCTGTTAAGTAAGTTGAATAATTTATAAATTTTTGTATTGAATATTATTTAATTTGTGTTTTAGAATGAATGCTTTATCAGATGCATTACCTAAAATTGATTTTAGTAATTATCGAAAAATGGTAGCAGATCCAACACTTGTTGATAAACTTCAAAAAGAAGTAATGATAATAAATTTTCGTATTATTATTATAACTTTTATGATTTTTTTTCTGTAGTATGAAAATGCCCAAATTGCATATCCAAAAGATTCGGCTAATCGAATGAAAGAACTTGAAGAATATGCAAAGAGTGAGGTAATTAGAATTAATCTTTTAATTTTATTTATATTTATATGATTTATATAGGAAAAACGTGCACAAGAATTTGTTCAATTAGCTGAAGGTGAAGTAGAAAAATTACGAAAAGAATTTGATCGTTGGGATAATGTACCTCCAGCGGATGAAGTCACTTATGAATTAGGTATGTTAAATTTAAGAGGGAATATCCAATAAATATATATATAAATGTTCTGTTATTTAGCTTCTTTTTATATGCCAGAAGCTGTTTTTCCTCGTGTTTGGGATAAAGATGAACATGATAAATTGAAAGATATACAATTTTTACCATATGAAAAACGAGATTCATTACGTTGGTGGGTTGAACAAGGTGGTGAATTATTACCACATAAACATGAATGGGTTATGCCAGATGAAGCACTCGATCCAATTGGCGCTCCTCCACGACCAAACAAGGCAGTCACTGAAGGTGGACATGGACATGGTGATGCGAAAAAAATCAGTGCTGGAGGCAAACATTAATGTACCCCGTTGATTTGTCTTATTTATATTTTTTTTCTTCTTTTTGCTCTTATAGTTTTTCAACCCAAATAAAATGTCTGTATGAAAACAAAACAAAAAAAAAAGAAGAATCTCATTTAAATTCAGATTAGACAAACATTTTTAGTTTTATTTTTAATTCAAATAAATTGATTTGATTTTTAGAAATTTTGTTGATCTATATCTAATAATTCATATAAAATTTTTAAAATCATTCAATATGCACAGTCTTTCGAATCCATTGATGAAGAATATCAGCAATATGTAAATTATTTTTTTCCATCATTTGCATATGACCATTTCCATAAATTTCTATATCTTCAAGTCGAATGAAATCTACTTTAACACCTGCTTGTCGTAAGAACTCAACGGTGCAATGATCATAAACAGCATGATAAGATGCTTGAGATGTTTCTATTAAAACGGAAATATTAACAAGATTAGTTAATGTACGAGCAGGTGTTTTTTGAAGAATACAAGATGTATAATTTTCATGTATTGATGGTATTTCAACAGTCGAAAGATCCGATGATGAATTTACAATAGGATCATATGCTATTGGGATATCTGTAATGCCCCAAGATCGAGATGATTTATTTGAAAAAACAGCTTCTCGAAATGGAGGTCCTTTTGGTTCGATAGAAACTATGGCTTTAACGAGATTCGGTCGTATATCAGCAATTAACCATCCAAAACTTCCACTTTGTGAATGAGTTAATAGTATAGCAGCACCAATTTTATCTAGTAATGCTGCACCAGCCTTTTGAATCATAGTTTGAACCAGAGGTGATCACAGGGCAGGGTTACCCTGCCCTGCCCTGCACCC